CTTTGTCATGTTAATTTTGGTTGTCTATCGTGGCTTGCAAATCTAAATTTAATCCCAAAAATGAATTTGGTCAAAGGTTCTAAGTGCCATATGTGTGTGCAATCTAAGCAACATCGTAAGCCTCACAAGGCTGCGGAGACGAGGAACTTGGCGCCATTAGAACTAGTCCATTCCGATTTATGTGAGATGAATGGAGAGTGGACTAAAGGTGGCAAAAGATACTTCATGACTTTTATAGACGATTGTACTAGATTTTGCTATGTGTACCTATTGAAAACAAAGGATGAAGCATTGTATTATTTTAAGATCTATAAAGTTGAAGTAGAAAATCAACTTGAGAGGAAAGTTAAACGGTTAAGGTCTGATCATGGTGGAGAATACTTTTCAAGTGAATTTTCTGAATTCTGTGTAGAACATGGAATTATTCATGAGAGGACACTACCATATTCACCACAGTCCACTGGGATTGCTGAAAGAAAGAACCACACTCTAACTGAGTTGGTTAATGCCATGTTGGAGACAGCGGGTCTATCTAAGGAATGGTGAGGTGAGGCTATTTTGACAGCGTGTCATGTCCTGAATAGAGTTCTTATAAAGAATAAAGAAATCACAGCATTTAAAGAATGGAAAAAAAGATTAAATCTCTCATATTTGCGCACTTGGGATTGTTTGGCCAAAGTGAATGTGCCAATTAACAAAAAGCACAAACTTGGACCTAAATTTGTTGATTGTGTTTTCCTTGGTTATGCTATTCATAGCGTTGGATATAGATTCTTAATTATAAATTCTGGGGTACCTAACATGCATGTTGGTACTATCATGGAGTCTAGAGACGCTACATTTTTTGAAAGTGAATTTCCTATAAAAAATGCACCTAGCACAACTAGTCATGAATCTATAATTCCCCATGAGCAATTTATTCTAATAGAACATTATGAGGAACCCCATGTGCACAATCCTGAGCAGGATGACATTGTAGTCACTCAAAAGAGTAAGAGACAACGGACTGCAAAGTCTTTTGGTGATGACTACATTGTGTACCTTATGGATGATATACCAAGAACCATAGAAGAGGTATATTCCTCTCCTGATGCTGACTTGTGGAAGGAAGCAGTACGGAGTGAGATGGATTCAATTATGTCTAATGGAACTTGAAAAATTGTTAAACATCCTTATGGATGTAAACCAATAGGATGAAAATGGGTGTTCAAGAAAAAGCTTAGGACTGATGGTACAATTGAGAGGTACAAGGCAAGGCTTGTGGCCAAGGGTTATACCAAAAAAGAAGGTGAAGATTTCTTTGATATTTATTCACCTGTTGCTCGATTGACCATAATTCGAGTGTTACTTTCTCTAGCTGCCTCTCATGGTCTTATCATTCATTAGATGGATGTAAAGACGACTTTCCTAAACGGAGAGTTAGAGGAGGAGATCTACATGGATCAGCCAGATGGATTTGTAGCAAATGGTCAAGAGGGCATGGTGTGTAAGTTATTAAAGTCCTTATATGGCCTGAAACAAGCTCCTAAGCAATGGGATGAGAAGCTTGATAGAACTTTGACATATGCCGGCTTTATTGTGAATGAAGCTGACACATGTGTGTACTATCGGTATGGTGGGAGAAAAGGAGTGATCTTGTGTTTATATGTTGATAACATACAACCTTAATATGATTAAGGAGGTTAAAGACCTTTTGTCTAATAATTTTGAGATGAAAGACTTGGGAGAAGCTGATGTTATTCTTAATGTCAAGCTGCTAAAAGAAGGAAATGGGGGATTACACTTTCACCATCTCACTATATGGAAAAGGTATTGAGTCGCTTTGGGTTTAGTGACTGACAACCTGCTCCTACACCTTATGACCCTAGTGTGCTATTAAGGAAAAATAAAAAAATAGCAAGTGATCAATTGAGATACTCCCAAATCATTGGTTCGCTTATGTATCTGGCTAGCGCCACGAGGCCTGATATCTCATTTGCTGTGAGCAAACTAAGCCGGTTTGTGTCAAATCCGGGAGATAATCATTAACGTGTTGTTGAGAGAGTATTATGCTATCTGAAAGGTACTATGAGCTATGGCATTCACTATACCGGGTACCTGAAGGTACTAGAGGGTTTCTGTGATGCTAACTGGATTTCTAATGCTGATGATCTTTATGCCACAAGCGGATATGTGTTCTTGCTTGGAGGTGGTGCTGTTTCCTAAAAGTCTTGCAAACAGACTGTTTTAACGAAGTCAATAATAGAAGCAGAACTTACAGCATTAGACACCACTGGCGCTGAGGCCGAGTGGCTTCGTGAACTCCTTATGGATTTACTGATTGTAGAGAAACCTATACCGTTTATTTCTATGAACCGTGATAACTAAGGTAAACAGTTCTAAGGACAATATGAAGTCCATAAGGCACGTTAAGCGGAGACTAAAATCTGTCAGGAAATTGAGAAACTCCGGAGTGATATCGTTGGACTATGTCCACACGTCTAAAAATCTAATAGATCAATTCACTAAGGAACTGTCATGTAATGTGATAGATAGTGCATCGAGTGAAATGGGCTTGAAACCCACATAAAGTCTATCATGGTGGTAACATGTTCTATGTGATCGGAGATCCCGTGAAGTAGGATGGTGAAACAACCCAAGAGTAGGCTATGAGAAAATACCCTTAATTAAACCCATGTCAGATGCACTTCTTTCCTTTTCTATAAGGCAAGTTGATTTTATACATTAATGCGTTTTAAAGTGACTTGATGAAGCAAAGATGTTGTCCTATAAAACATCTTTTGAGAAACACACCTATGTGAGTTTGACTCCTAGTCACAGTCTATGAGATTTAGGTGATCTCGAGATACTCATGAATGGGCCAGGAGTATGACTTATATGCTCCAACTAGAGGGATGCTTTTTGCAACCTAGTATCAGTAAAGGGCCTAGGTGAAACTTATTTCGCACAAAATTGTCAATTTAAGGCATAGTCTATTGTATAGTTGTAAGCGTAACCTTTGCTCTAGTGGAAGTTTAACTTAATATTCTCCATCGAAACACTGATATATTAAACGACAGAGAAAACTGAGAACATTTCCTATGTACCCTAGAATTTGATGGGGATTGTTGAATATTATATGGGTTTAGGCCCATATTTTATTTAATAAATCAATTAATTCTAGGCCCATATTAAATGTTGTGATATAATATAGTTTTAGTCCCGTATGAGATTTTGACTGATCGTTGACTCAACTTAAATAGGCTACACACATGTGCACCTATAGAGAAGCTGAAAGAGACCAAAGGCGTGCCACACGCGCGCGCGCCGCCACCGCCGCCAAGTTGAGCCAGGCCATGCCGTGCCATGCCTTGCAAGAGCACAGGTGTGGATTGGTTTTGCCACTTGGGTTGGCTAAGGAAGGGGAAGGGGTACAGACGTTAATGTGGAGGAGTTACTTACGGGTCAGTTACCATCCACTACGGTGGTGATTACTCGTAATCACTTTGACTCTTCGTCTCCCAGGTCCCTCCAGCATAACCTTCTCTCTTGTCTCCCTGTTGCCTGACGGAAGCCATACCACACCTTCCTCCTGTCGAGTTGCATCCGAGTACTTCCCGTCCCATCCTCTGCGCGCACGGAACTTTGGGACATCTGGCCTCCAAAACCGGCGTTCGCATCGGGACACATGCTTGGGTGTGTGCGGGCGATCAGGTTTTTGGGAGCGTCTCCGCGACTGCTCGCCGTCTTCTTCAACTCCTTCCTGGTGGTGCCTTTTCTTCCTCGGATCGGCTTCTTTATCTCCTTCCTAGTGGTACCTCTTCTTCCTCGGATCGGCTTCGTCTACTTCCCGATGGACGTTCGAGAAATTGGTTAAATTCAATCTCCTTTTTGCTATGATCGGTATGTTGTTTATGAACATATTTACTGCTAATTTGAGTAGTAGTAAAATCACATACGTGCACATATTTGTCATCACAAATTTGCTATTATTTTTGTGGATTAATTTTAACGTGAAATTACCTAAATTCCTAACATTGAACACGGAGAACCCCATGGCGAATGCCGCAGCGGCGAGGTGGTGCAGGAAGAGGCACAACGTGATGCCGTTGGTGTACTTGCGTGAGTTGAGCGACGGATGTTGCTAGCCGCTACAGCTTGTCAGCTTCAGGCTTAGATTAGCGCCATATGTCATATTCAGTTTCAGAAATTTGATCCCAAGCAGTGGTACATTCATGATGATATTTTAGGGAGAATATTTGTGCCTAAGAACCCCATGACTTACACGTGTAGCTAGCTGACCAGAGCTATGCGTTAGGCGACATTGATTAATAAATCGTATCAAGCGTGCGCGGCGGCGGCTTGGGCCTGCCCGCTCGCACGGAGAGCGGCTTGAGCGACTCGCACGATGTTGCGGCTGGCCGTCCGCTCGTGCGGCGGCGGCTCTGTGCGGCCGCCTGCTTGCTCGGTTAGCGGCGGCCTGACTGCCTGGTGCGACGGCGGCTTGCACGACGACGACGCGTGGCTGTCCTCGCGCGGCCGCCCGCTCGCGCGGCGACGGTGTGGCCGCGTGACTTCTCGGCACGGCCACCAGCCCACGTTCTTGCCCGCCTTGTGCGGGCGGCCCATCGCTTGCTCGTGTGGCGGCGTCGTGGCTGGTCCGCTCGCCCGGCAACCACGGGGCTGCAGGTGCGCCCACCTGATCACGTTCTGTGGGGGCTATGTTGAAAGAGAGTTACAGAAGGGAAGGGGCTTAGTGAAAAAATACCAAGCTCTTGAACTGGTATGGAGCTGTAGCGTACAACATAGAAAGTTTAGGGACATAAAAATACACTTTGAGAGTTAATGACACATCCCTAAAAGTTAATGAACATGTAGTGCATTTTACTCAAATTAAAATTATTCAACATACAACCATTTTATGTAGACGATGACACCAAGTATAAATCATGCCACTCATCGTTGAGCTACTACGCCATCTCTGTGATTCTGACTACGGCGCTCAGCATTATCATTTCAGCTCAAGCTCGCTTGGGATGTTTCCACCCCAGATCGGTGAAGAACTCGCGGAGCATCTTCTCGCCGCAGCGCCGATGCAGCCTCTCCACGGGGTCTTCATCCCTTGGTGAACGATCCACGAGTGTGTGGTCATCACCGTCGGCGTGTGGCAGTGGAGCGCAGGGCGGCTCCTCGTCGAGCTGCTCGCTCGGCCTCGGCTTTGGCATGAGCTCCGACGACAGGCGATCCAGGTGGTTCATGACTTTGTCCATTGTTATTTTGTCCTTCGACCTCATGTCTCTGTTCCTGCTGCTGCTATCTTCCTTGTGGTAAGAGCATCTCTAAGAAATTAGCCAAATCGTTTTCTAAAGGTAAATATGACTATTATTGAAGGAATAACATCTCAAACAGACTCTGTAATTACTCTCCAAATTTAGTAGCTCTCCATTCCACGTCATTTGCTCTCTACTTTTGGATAGCCCACCTCCATATTTATTGATTACAATAAACAATTTCAAAGACAACAATTAGCAACAATTATATTTTACCCAATATCTTTCATGCAAACCCTAGTCTAATCTCATCAAATATAAATTTAGAAAAACGAAATTAATAAAAAAAACCAAACCCTAGATCTTGATCTAGATCTACATGCACATGAAACATCCATAAAACTAACTAATTGTCCATTAAAATGAAGAAACATGGACCAAATAAGGGTATGATCTTGTTCCCCTACCTAATTTACCCTAGTACATTCAAAACTTAAATCTAATTTGCTTCATAAGTACCTCAAGCACCATAGAAGAGAGAGAAAAGCAAAACTCTAATTACTCACTAACCAACCATTAAAAGTTCAAAAAAAGTGTGTAATAGCATTTTCTTACCTTTTACAACCTCTCCACCAAAGGATTTGAGACCAAAACCTTTCCCCGTTAGTAGAGCAATTTTTTGGGAGGTGTCCAAGGCCTTCCTACCTTTTTTCACGGGTTGGAGTGAGTGACCCGATGAGGAAGAAGGGGCCGCATGTTTTTATACATGGCTCATTTGTAGGTGCGGCTGGTAATTGAGTCGCTCCTATAAATCGCAACACCGGGGGCGGCTGGTGAGTAAGTCGCCCCTACAAATTGACCCATTTGTAGGGGCGGCTCGTATCACCAGCCGCCCCTACTGTGCCATTTGTAGAGCCGGCTGGTCTCGTTGGTCCCGAGCACGTTCACTGTAGGGACGACTCAACCGTCCTAAAAAAAATTGTGCTGTTGGTACGAACGTTTTTTTTAGTAGTGATTGACACTAAATATTAGCTTTACTTTGTATAAATTACTCAAAATAGTTCTATATAATATATATTTTTCAGTTTATCATACTGTAATCTAGATATTATGAATTAAAATTTTAGAGTGATCACATAGATGCATCGATCACTGGTACAGATTCCTAGATTACTGTCAGATATAAACCCAGCATCACTATCAAAACTGGATCTGACAGAGTGCCATCGTAGTGATGAGTATGGCCTATCACTGTCAATTCAACACCCAGCGGAGATTACAATATTTTACTATCGGTTCAAGGCTAGACCCGTCTATGACGCCGCGAGGATTAGTGTCAAGTCTAACTTTTACTTGAGTGGGTAGCAATGGGTCGCTGTCAGGTCAACGGCTTCAACCTGGCAGTGACCTTCATTTTCACATTTTATATATCACTACTGGAGGCGCATGCTTTGCCGAGGGCCTCTAGCCCTCGGCAAAGGCCCAGAAAGCCTCGACAAAGGCTTTGCCGAGGGCTGCCCTCGGCAAAGACCCATCGGGGAATTTTTAGATGGTGAAAGGATCTTTGCCGAGGGCTAGGACAGCCCTCGGCAAACAAAAGAGGCCGTCAGGCGCCGGCGCCGTTGGTGGTTTCTTTGCCGAGGGCCCACCCTCGGCAAAGAAATGTTTTTTTTTAATTTGTTTGCCGAGGGTCGACCCTCGGCAAATAAATTTTTTTATTTTTTTAAAAACCTTTGCCGAGGGCCTCCTCCCTGGCCCTTAGCAAAGAAATTTTCAGGATTTTTTAAAAATTCTTTGCCGAGGGCCAGCCCTCGGCAAAGTCGGCAAATAATTTTTTTTATTTTTATTTTTTAAAACCTTTGCCGAGGGCCTCCTCCCTGGCCCTCGGCAAAGAAATTTTCAGGATTTTTTAAAAATTCTTTGCCGAGGGCCGGCCCTCGGCAAAGAAATGGTTTTTTTGAATTTTTTTTAACCCTTTGCCGAGGGCCTGCTCCCTGGCCCTCGGCAAAGAAATTGTCAGGATTTTTTTCCAAAAAAATCTTTGCCGAGAGCTATTGCTTGGGCCCTCGGCAAAGGAACCTTCTTTGCCGAGGGCCTTGGTCATTGCCCTCGGCAAAGAGGCAGAAATTTAAATTTTTTTTGTTTTTTTGCATTCCATCGACACAAGCATTTCATATATATACATATATATATCACACAGAACCTATTTTCTCATAATATATCACAACCATAATTGTGAACCACAAATCACAATATATTACAACGACAAGTCACATGTTCATCATCATTCACATGTTTATTACGACAAGTTAATGAAATTCAAGCACAAGTCACAACCATAAATCACAAATCACGCTAAAGTCCAACCACATCACCTAGCACGAGTCCTCATCAAGCTAGCCTATGAGACGATGGTGAAGGAAAAACAGGATCACCCGGTGACGCACTAGCGGGTTGATTGGAACCCGCGGACGGAAGCTGCACAAAGGAGCAGAGATTGCATGTGTGAGTAATCCGGGAAAACAGTTTTGAAACTTAGAGATTGCATCTAGTATTGTAGGAATACAAAAAGATTAGACTCAATTGAAAATTTCGGCAGCACCTCCCCTGCACGGGGAGGTTTCCAAAACCTGCAAGAAACGACGGCACGAACGCCGACATCCACAACGGCACGAACGCCGACATCCACAACGGCACGAAGGCCGACATACATGCAAAGCACAAGCGAAAAGTGAACTTTCATACTTACAGGAGTAGCTGCAGGAGTAGGAGGTGGAGGAGCTGAAAACTGCACAGGTACACCCGATGCTTGCCCAAGACTTTGCATGATCACCATCATCTCGCCGCCATCCGTCTAGGCTGGCCTCGAACGCGACCTTCAGGCTGCAGTTGTGCGGTCAGCTCCAGCTGCTCGCTCTTGACTTTGCCTTTTTGTTTCTTGCAGCTCACCTGCAATATTTCACCCAATGTGTCGATAATGCAAATCTAATTTAGGTGTGTAAATATCTACGTACGATGAGTAAAACAAGAATTACTGGAGTGCTTGGACTCGCTGCGGTCTTTGGAAAGGCCGTGGGACGATGGGCTGGCTAGTTAGAGCTCGTGCTCTCGTGCTCGGGATAGCGCCGAGGAGGGAACAAGGTGGAGTCGATGGCGCCGTCTGCAATCCTGACCGCCCGTGCTTCTTGCCTCCTCCGAGCCTCATGATCGCCTCTGCATCAATGGGCTCAGTGCGCACATTGTAATCTTCCCCATAGATCTGCCTTACCGTTGACGTGTACTCTTGGACTTTAGTGTACACGTTCGGGTCGGAGTACACCTGGGGCGGGGCAGCCGGGTCGAAGGAGACAGAGGACGACGCCCTGCCCATATGGGACATAGCCCACGCAGAAATCTCCGAGACCTCCTCGCCCGGGTGCGCAGCCTCCTGCGAGAAAGACGGGAAGATGGTGAGAAATCAAGCAGAATTGAGCGTCAAAATAAATGAAAGAAATCACATACGTATGCTTGTTTGTATCCGGGGAGGCTACGGCTACCTTGATGGTGAGTTGGACCTTGCCTCATCAGACGCTGTTCCCGCTGCCTCTCGTGCGTGTCAACAAAGTCCTGTGATAACCACTTGTCCACGATCATGGCCCAGCACTCGGGATACGATCAGCACCACCAGGGAATCACCTACAAGTCATCGAGTATTTGACATATAAGAAGATGAAATTGAACCTATTTAATATCAAAACGAATCATTATGAATGTTATTCGCCTACCTCAAGGTCTTGGTCCCGGGTCACAGAATCCGTCTTGCTTGAGGCTTGGGAGGGACCGCCTAAGCACCGACCAGTAGTAGTCTATGTGGGCTGGACGCGCCCATGGTGATGCATCTCGGTGACGTACTTCCTACAAGCCGTGGGTACCGCCCGATCCGCCTAGGCCTCAAGTCCTTCTTCACCTTGAAATATTTCTCGCATACAAAACCGATGTATCCATTCATTATTTCGATAAAAGATTTAACCAATGAATGCGATGTATTAGGAAATGTTAAAGAGAGAGACTTACCCAAAACTCCGCCAATACTCGCTCTCCTGCTTGTTGCGGTAAGTGTCATCCGTGACCAGCCCAGCGTACTGTCTCCCGCTTGGAGGCCGGCTCCCAAGACCACCAGCTTCTTCGGACAAGTTGCACAATGCCGGGTACCATTTTCTGCACAAAACACCAAGGATGCTCGAAAGTGCGTCTTTGGAGTACCCGACAAAACCAACCAGGCCCTACACAAGTGATTAAGAAAATTTATCAGTTTCTCTTAAGATTTCCAACATATCTTATGAAGTAGTTGTGATAACATCCATAGTTACTTACCTCTTTGCCATAGGCCGAATCACCGAGCGGGTTCGAGGAAGCGGAACCAAAGGGAGGCTCACGGACCTCGCCGTAGAGAGTCCGGGTAGCAGTACCTCTCCCTCGCCGCCTTGAGCGCCTCGCCTCCCTCGCCCTCGAGCACCTCGCCTCCCTCGCCCTCGAGCGCCTCGTCTCCCTCGCCCGTCTGCTGACCCCTCACGTCCTCCGATGAGGACGAGGCCATGGCCGTCACATGCTCCTCCTCCAGCACCTCGTCATGTGTCGAGGAGGAGACCACCGCCCCCACGGCGGCTGCCCCCTGGTCCTCCTCTCGTCACCTCCACGGACGCTACCCGGACGGCGACCCTCACCTCTCGAAGGAGAGGCGGTCTCTCCCGTAAACCGAGGGCGTGTCACGGCGTGGGCGTCGCTCGCCATCTTTGTCCAATCACCGCAATCACAAAGAATGAACAAGACTAATTAGTACATATATTAGAAATAGATTCAAAATATATATTCAAAACACAAATTAAAAAAACCATAGTATTACATGTATTAGGAATAATCTTCATGATTGGGATCATAGGTCTCATCATCACTGTCAAAATTGTCCAAATGGGCAACACTATCCGAAGGTTCTATGTTGTCATCGTCGTCATTGCCTAGAAGTAATCGCTCAAGCATTGCTATGT